CTTACCAAACTAATTTTTTCTTTTCTTTCTATCTTTCTTTTTTATTTTTTTTTTATTTTTCTTTTTTCTTTTTTATTTTTTGAACATTATGAACAAATTTTGTTTTATTAATTAGTTAAATTGACAATTGAACAGTATCATTTCTGTTAGTTAAGTTGCCGCACAAACCCTGTGGGCTTCTGGTTTTACTTCAAAAAAATAAATAAAAAATAAATAAATAAACTATTACACGCCATGAGTAAGCACGGGATCATCTTTTTCAATGTTTCACTCGTTGATGGTACTGCTGTTAATGTCAGAGATGTAGTTACTATCATCATGACTGATGCTTTTATTATTATTATTATTATTATTATTATTATTAATTTATTGTCATGTTGTTGCGGGAAATATTGCAAGGGCCGAAGAGGTCTTATAATGCATCAACGTTCATGCAAAATGTTCAAAACACTGAGAGTTACAAATAAAAAATCAAACCATGAAAATGACTGCTCCAGTTCACCCTCTTCGCCACTGCTGCCAACCTCCGCTTCAGCATCCGACACTGATCCGTCGTCTACGTCAACAGAATCAACTGATGTCGATACATCTGAATCATTGCTTCCGGGCGTCAAATTGCCAAGAACAGAGGCAGAATGGACCGAAGCCAACGACTACTTTCGAATCCATCGAAGCGATTTCTCAGATTTCGGCAACTTGAACGACGTCACGATCAAATTTCAAAATTTTATCTACAATTATTTCGCCACAAATTATGGTATAATTGAATCCCCATCCACCATAAAAGGAAATAATTCGAATAAATCAATTAAAATTTTAAAAAAAGAGTTAAAACAACTCAAGTTCTTAGGCCACAACAACAATAACTTCGATAAACAAATTAGCGAAAAAAGTAAAGCTATTCGATTTAAATTAAAGTCAAAAAAATCGGCACCTAATGAAAAAACGCATGACATCTCAACGCAACTAAAACAACGGTTTTGGAAAACATGCAAATCGCAATTCAACAAGTCAACAAGTTTGTCACCTCAATTTAATTCTAACGAATGCAAGAAATATTTCCATTCAATTTTAAGTAATTCTCCAAACAA